ACTCACACCCGCACTCACACCCGCACTCACACCCGCACTCACACCCGCACCCACTCACACTCACACTCACACTCACAATCGCACACACACCCGCACCCACTCACACTCACAATCGCAATCACACCCACACACACCCACGTGGCCTCTCGCAGGTGGAGACTATTGGCGATGCGTACATGGTGGCTGCGGGTCACGACGAGGACGAGGATAAGGCCCGCAAGGGCTCCCCGCTCACCCGGGTGTTGGGCTTCGCCAAGGCCATGCTAGATGTGGTCAGGAACATCACGGCACCCAACGGAGAGAGGATGCGCATCCGCATCGTAAGACGAGTTCCTCGTTGGTTTGGATCAACCGTTGGTTTCGGAGGAGGAGCGGGGTGTTGTGGGTAGGGGAGATCGCCGAAAGTCTGGAGGGGGGCCCCGCCGCGGCGGGGCGAACCCGGGCAACCGGTTTGACTGGATCCTCACGGGATCCTAACTGAATTCTGTTGGATCCTTTAGGAAGCTATTTATTGGATTCAATGGATATCCTGTTGTTGGGGCATGTTGCAAAACTGGGTTACACCGAATTGTTATCCATTTACGGTTGCTGCATGTGATCATCTGGCCGCATGATTGCATAAAGGCTTCCTTGTGTGTGCGCGCGCGCGTGTGTGTGTGTGTGTGTGTGTGTCTCACCCCGTCCCTGCTCCGTGTTTTCCCCCCTGCCTCCGTCCCCCCGTGCTTTGTACTCCTTCAGTCGGTGCCTTGGCCGCCGGCTGTCATTTCCTTTTTGACTGCCTTGCATGGTCATATATTTCCCTCTCCCCTACTTACCTTGCCTCCGCACCTCTGCTGCTGTCCGCACCTCTTGACGGTACCGCCTCTTGACGCCACCGCCGCCTACCCTACCGGCTGCTGCACCTGCAGGGCGTGCACTGCGGTCCGGCGTTTGCCGGGGTGATCGGCATGAAGTGCCCCCGGTACTGCTTCCTGGGGGACACTGTCAACACAGCCAGCCGGATGGTGGGTTCAAAGAAACGTGTGTGCGTGTGCGTCTGTGCGTCTGTGCGTGTGTACGTCGGTGTGTGTGTCGGTGTATCACTGTGTGTGTGCATAGTCACATTCTGTTATGCACTCCGTCCCGTCCGCTACCCCATCCTTCCCCCTATCCCCCCTTCCGCGCCATTTGACGTTTTAGTTCAGTTTTCCGCACATGAATACCTCTCGGCACCCCTTCCCCCCTATCCCGGCACCCCTTCCCCCCTATCCCGGCACCCCCTTCCCCCCTATCTCGGCACCCCTTCCCCCCTATCCCGGCACCCCCTTCCCCCCTATCTCGGCACCCCTTCCCCCCTATCCCGGCACCCCTTCCCCCCTATCCCGGCTGCGCGCTAGGAGTCCACGGGCTTCCCCATGTGTATCCACGTGTCGGAAGACGTGTATCAACACCATCCGAACATGGAGGGCGAGTTTGTAGAGGTGGGTACGGCTAACGGGCAAAGGTCTCGGAGCCGGTCTCGGAGGGAATGAATGGCGGCGATACCTGACCTGAGGCAGTGACAGTTGGGAGGGGTCGAGGAGCCCTAAGCTGGGCGGTTGTGGAGCGGGACAGGAGGACTTGCGGGCCGTCAGGCCGTCGGGCAGGTCCAGCGCCTGGGTGTTGGTGCACATGGTCCCGTTTCCGGTTATGTATGTTGGGGCTTATGCGCGTTGGGGTTGGGTGGCGGCAGATTGGGCGCGGTAGTGGCGACCGTGGCGGTGAATGGGTTGCCATCCTAGACGGTTGCTGGTACTGCTACTGCTACTGCTGAGGCTGAGGCTGCTGTATTGCATTCCGCATGCGCGCCTACCTCACCGAGCTCTAGGTCGGGGAGCGGGAGGTGAAGGGCAAGGGCCGCATGCGCACCTACCTGGTCCGAGTTGGAGCCTGGGAGCAAGCGCTGCGGGACTACGCCCCCCGCCAGCAAACCGCCGCCGCCTCCACGTCCGCCTCCGCCTCCGCTGCGGGACAACAACAGCAACAACAACACCAACGACCAGCTCAAGCCACCACCATGCAACAACAACAACAACAACTGCAGCAGCAGCAGCAGCTGTCATGTCAGCAGCCCGAGCGAGAGGGGCTCCATGGTGGTGCCGCTGAGGGTGCTAAGAGCACCGGGGTCAGCAGCGGCGGCCTGGGTGGCGGGGAATTGCACCCGCAACCACAGCTGTCACAGCTGTCACATCGCGCGTCATTTGGAGCTGTTAGCCCTGGGGGGTCCAGGTCCGCAGGGCAAGTGATGCTTTGCCCGTCGTCATCGTCAGCTGCTGCTGCTGCTGCTGCGGCGGCGGCGGCAGCGAACGACGGCAACCATAACAATGGCCGGTTCGTACACCTGCTGTCGACCGTGGCTGAGGAGGTGTCCGTGCCGCCGTCGCCGCTGCTGCTGCCCGACGCGACGGCAGCGGTCACCGACGGCAACGGTGTCGGCTTCGGCCTCGTACGGCCACAGCTTACGGGCAGTGCTATGGGCGTCCGCAGTCCCCTCTCAAGGCCAGAGCTCTCCGCCCCGCGGCTGCCGCCGCGAACCACTTTCGGTTCCGAAGCTTACTACTGCGACGAAACGTCCGACGACGGAGCCAACAGTACACTCAACGGCATGATCATGGCCTCGGGCGGCGCGCTGCGCTCCTGCTCCGGCAGCTTGACGGGCCTCCTGCCCGCATCGCCGTTTTTGCTGCAGACGGCGCCGGCGACTGGCGCCGGCGCCGGCGCTCGGAGGGCTGTCTCCGATGCAAGTGGCTATGGCAATACCGGCGATGGTGGCGACAGTGGCAGGCAACCGGGGCATGCCTCCGTTCTCGATGTGGCAGCGGAGTTTGGTCTGGGTGTTGGAGGAGCCGCCGCGACGGCACCGGCGGTGGCGCACTTGCGCGAAGACGGATTGGCGTTTGCCCCTGCTACTGCTGCTGGTGGTGCTGGCCGCGTTGGCAGCGTCACCGGCGGGGCTGTTATTCCGGCGACTGGCTATTTGGAGCAGCAAATAACTCGTTTGGGGACGCAGCTAGCTGCTGAGACGTCTAAGAGGCAGAGGCTGCAGGTGCGAAGAAGAGCGATGCAGTGAGCCGACAACAGCCGGGTGTGCGTGAGTGATTGAGTGTTCTTGAATGCGTGAGTGATGGGTGCGCGTGAGTGCGTGTGTGATGGGTGCGCGTGAGTGCGTGTGTGATCGAGTGTGCTTGAATGCGTGAGTGATGGGTGCGCGTGAGTGCGTGTGTGATGGGTGCCGTGTTCAAAGGACATCACGCACTTAGCTTTGTCGGTAGGTAGGGGCTCCATCGGTGGGGCCACCGACGACCTGCTGTACCATCACAAACTATGTTAAGCTTCAATCTACAGTTTGCTACACACATGTATTGCAAGGCCGCCTACGTTTCCCGCATGCGCGGTAAATGTCCGTATGGTGCAAGGGGTTATACAGTAGCATATCTCGTTTTCTGTTTTGTTATGTTTTCGTTCCATGCACCCATGTTTGCCGTACTGTCGTACCGCGGCGCCGTCGTGTGAATAACTTCCGCATGCTCGGCTTCCAGGCGGACTTGGACGAGGAGCGTCGGCGTTCTGCTAGTGCGCTACAGCACGTGACCCTGCTACAGCAGCAGGCAGCAGCACTGGCCACTGCTGCAGCCTTCACCTCCTCCGCCACTTCCTCTACTGCCGGCCGTCAGGACTCCACGGACAGAAACGGCGCCGTCGCAACGTCGTACGGCAGCTGCAGCGCCTCAACGAAGCATCCATGCAATAACCTCCCCAGCGGAGGCCCCAGTGCCAAAAATGGCACTAAACACGGGGGTAACTCTGTACGGCAGCAAAAACAACTAGAGCAGCAGCTCCGAGACCAGGAGCAGCAGCAGCAGCAGCAGCAGCCTATATCCCAATGCGACTCTTCCTACGCCCCGGATGCGGAAATAGTAATCCTGGGACCTGCCGACGATGATGCCGACATCGGCGACGGCAGCGGCGGATCTGGCGGTGGATCTGGCGGCGCCGCCGGCACTGCAGGGCCCGACAGTGACGAGGGCCCGGCTTTGGAACAGCAGCGGGTCCCTTCGCGCTTTCCCCTGCATCTGCCCGTTGCTGCTTCAAGCGGGAGCGTTGAAGGCGGCGCGTCCCCCCGCGCGGGACTTGACCCACGGGTCACGACCATGCAAGGAACTGGGAACTCCAGCAACTTGATGCGGGACTCCCCCTTAGTCCTCACGGACATCGAGTGGCACAGCAATGGGCTACGCAGACCTGACGATGCGACGGCGGCAGCGGAGACAGGATCGCCGGAGGCTGCAGTGGCGGTGGGGCGTCGGGAAACCGGCGGTGGGGTGCATGTGCATGCCACGGACGCGCGCGGCGGCGGCACTGGCGGGGCCTTGGTCTCTTCCCCCGTCTCTCCCCCCCTTCATCCTCTTCACTCTCCACCGGCCGGCCTGCTCGCAGCCAGGCCCGCCAGCGACTCCACCACCAATGACACCACTACCGACCAGAAGCTGTTTTACGACAGCGGCGCTAGGGTCAACGCTGCAGTAGAACCTTTCCACACGTCCCTCAGCCATGGGTTGAAAGCCGCTGTAATCGTAAGGGCGGGCACGGCGGGGGGCACCGGAGGTTGCCATGTGGTACAGTCGGGCTGGCTGATGCCGCGCTACAGCCTTGATGTGCTATTCGAGGAGCTGGGGTTGCTGCCGTACCTGGGGGCATTTCAGGAGGAGGCCATCCGTCTGGACCAGCTGCTAGGGATGGATACTGGGCAGTTGGAGCGACTGGGGCTCAGGTGCGGGGGCCGGGGGCTGGGCCCGGACAGCGACTTAACGGGATAAATGCGCGACATGCACAGCTGGAGCTGCGTATTTGGTGATTTTGCGTTACAATACAGTGCGCATAGACTTCTGTGCATAGTGGATGGGGCTTGAGTTTGAATTTGGCGGTTGGCATTTGGCGATATGATGTCCGAGAGCCAGCTGAGCGGCTGATTCAGCTGCGGCCCAGCGTGATCCCCGATATTGAAATGCTCTCTGGCATTCCTAAGTCCCACACACCATCCCCTCGCATACTTGTTGTCGTCGTCTTCCTTCTTTGAGGGTTTTTGTTTTGGCGCTCCTAACGTCCTTGTGCGCTTTCCTGTACGTTTTTTGCTTTTACCTTTACAAAGGGCTTCCCCCAGTGGATTTTTCCTATTGTATGCACTGTCCTGACTGCCACCCTCAGGCCTCTCGGGTACTGCCTAAGGTTGCGTGAGGCGGTGTTGGACCTAGCTCGCCGGCTGCTGCGCGCCTGCGAGGAGGCCGCCAGGCTACCGCAGCCGCTCGCCCTCACGGACGCTGCACCAGTCCTGGGGGCCCCGCACGCAGCGGCTGCCGAGGCCATTCCCAGCAGCATCAACAGCGGCGGTGGCGGTGGCGGTGGCGGTGGCGATGGCGGTGGCGGTGGCGGTGGCGGTGGTGGCGCGGCAATGCGCTCCGGATGAGCTGTGCATTGTCAGCACACGTGTTGGCGCACATTCCGCGAGTTGAGTGTTCCCCACCTACAGATCGCACTGCTGTGTTGGGAGCTGTGTGTGATCTGTCTGGGGGGGGGGGGGGCTTTAGGGCTTGTAGCTGTCCGGCCAGGGGGGGAAGCTGCGTCAGCTGCGAGAAGCGAGAACTGCGTTCTTTCCCTCCCTCCGGCCGAACTATTCCTGGAAGAAAAAAGAAGGCCAGAACCGGAATACACGGCAGATATTGTCTTAACAATCAAACTATATCGGTAGAAGATGAGCGCCTAGAGGAAGTGACGGATATGCTTTTCCTGAAGAAAAAAGAAGGCCAGTGTTGAGAAGAATCTTTGACGGAGAATAAGAAGCTGAGGTCGACGCAAGTGGTTGTGGAGGAGAAGAGGGAAGAGGAGTCGGGGGGAAAAAGAAGAAGAGGATGTTTGGGTTCCTATGGTTGGCTGTGTAGAGGGTGCTAGAGGGCACTATTGGTGGGAGCAGCTCGCAAACGCGCCGCGGCTGTGTGTCAGTGCCCGCCACCAGCGGCTCCTCACATCCGTACCTAATGTGTACTTTATGTGGGGACGGGCGCGCCAGTGCGGGGAGAGGGAGGCGCGGATGGGAAACGGCCCGCAGTGCCTGCCTGCGGGACTGGGGCCTGAACTCTCAACGCTGCGGCGGGCTGGTAGTGGTATCCCAAAACGTACGTTATCTGTACGACGCAGTGATTTTCCCAGAGAACAGCAGCTCTCTACACTTGCAAAGGTGGCGTCGATGGTACTAGTTTTCATGGTACGAGGCTGAAGCAATGATGGGTGATCAGGTTTTGGCGATAGCAATCATAATTATTATGATAATCTTGATGACGATCATCATTGTCAGCATTACGAGCAGGAGGAGGTGGGGAAGGTACCCGTTTGTGGAGACGGAGGAACCATTGCAGGCGCGAAATCCTTCCCCCCTTGCCGTTGATCCCTTTTTTGTTGTTATTGTTGTTGTTTCTGTTGGCACTGTCTGCTGCCTTGTCTATTGCATGGTCGACACAAGCAGCTCTCGAAGGACTTACAGCTGGTGGTGGGGATGGTGGGGATGGTGGGGATGGTGTGTGTGTGTGTTATCCGTGGATGGTGTTTTTGTGCTTGCAAGCTTCATTGGAGAGTGAGACCATGCCTACGATTGCCTCTACCGCATTTTCTATCGCATTCTTGATGATGCATTTATGCGTTTTGAATCTGCGTGTCGATGTTTATGTGCGTATGTGCGTCTTCACAAATTTACACCCTGACGAGTGTTGTTGAAACTCCTCTCCTTGATGATGAAACTGGGTCTTAAGGTTTTGTTTGGACTCTGATCCGCCTCCTACTGGCGTTTGCCCCGCGGGCTGGGTAGTTGGCGCGGGGGGGGGGGGCCCTTACCGCCATGCAGAGCTTGCGATGCACAAATTTGGTGTGTCCTGTTCAGCACACAGCTCGCCCTGGACACACTTTCCGAAGGAAACACTTTCCTGTTTCGTCCGGAAAATACTTTTTGATGTCCGGAAACACTCTTAGCTCGCCTCAAGCGAGGGCGCGTAATTAGTAATCTATAGTTCTTTGTAGTGCTATGTCTTTATGCGTTGCGGCGGCTCACAAACGCGTAAATTTGTCATTCTTTCCATAGGCAGGTTGAGTCGCTGCAGAGACCCAAAAGTTGCTTTGGCGGTGGTGGCCTGCGGTGCGGCAGGGATGAGGGCGCGTATCTGGGCTTGACTTGGGCTCTACCGAGTAGCAGGAAGGGGAGGAGGGGGAGGAGGAGGAGGTGGAGCGGAAAAAGGGATCATCCAATTTCTTCGGATTGGCGGACAAAGACAGTGTTTTCGGAGGAGTGAAGGAAAACGGCCCTTGCTCCTCCCCACCTCATCACCTCGCCACCTCGCCACCTTATCCTCCGCCTTCCGCTCCCTCTCCGGACATCCACCGGAGTTATCCAAACGTGGGTTGGGTTGTAGGTGTTCATAGCAGGAAGGCTGCCTGCTTTTAGGAAGAGCCCCGGTCCTTAAGGTCTTCTCGTGTCTGTCAAAATTTTCATTCTAGCGTCGATTTTCATACTAGCGCCATCTTCATACCTTCACGCCCTTGTCGCTACTCTTGTCGCTCTGGTCGGGGTCCTGGGGCAGTCTGAAAACGGGCTTCTTGGTTGGCCCCTATCTGAAGAGCTGGTTTGGCATCATCGGGAGTCAATGTTAGCTCTGCTGCGGAGGCAAGTTGCAAGGAGCCTTTGCCGACATGGCAGCTGCGGATGCTACTAGACACGACGTGGATAGTCGTGTGGGTGCTTGCAGGCGGCTATTCTTGAGGGCCTACGAGGTACGGCGTAAGTCGGTGAACATTTGCCGTAGCATACTAACGGCATTTGCATTTTGCGGCGTGGTTGTGATAGTAATATATGTATATGTATATATAATATAATATATCTCAGAACAATCTTTTTCTCGCTTCTGGTGCGCCTGCTGCGGGTTGGGGGAAGCGCGACATATAACGGAGGGGGGGCGGAGGCGATTTTTGGGGCGCCTGTGGCGCCAGACGCACAGATCCAATGCTTTCCCTCCTGATTCATTTGCTTTCATTTACCGAAACGGCGATTGGTACTGCGTCTTTGCATACACATATAAAACGCGCGCAGAACCGGAAACGTAATTTGTTTTGGCAGCATTGTGTGAGAAGCCTTTTGCGCTGTTCGTTCGTTGGGGGTTTGGAGGTTTGGCCCGGGGCTCCTACGGCGTTTTGGTAGCACCACCCAGCACGATTTCCTAAAATTCCACGGCTTTTAGGAAACCGGTGGATATTGCATTAGTATTCCGTATTTTGATGTGATCTGACGGCCAAATGGCTCGAGCAGGAAAACCGAGCGTACGATGTACGGTGGGTGGATGGCTCTCTTAATATCAGTGGTTTTTATTAATCAATCGGATCGTCGGGATTTAGGCTTTTTGTAGCTGGGACATTGAGCGTACCTTTTGCAGCATCTCCTGGTTGAGGGAAGGAGAAAGGGTTTTAAGGTTTTTTTAGGACCCGTTTTAGGACCCGGAGGAAGGCGAGAATGATACTGAAGTTGGTATTTGTCTGGACAATCAATCCTTTTGGGTGACATCTTTTTTGCGCGCGTGCATCAATTTTGACCGCTTCACCCTTATTAATAGACGTATTGATGCTCTGTTACCATGACTTTTGCTTGTGGCGTCAAGGTGTGTGTGCATGTATAGATGACATTGCAGGTCTTTGACGGGGGACGATGGTGGAGAACGGGAACGGGGTATATCAGGTGTATACCGGAGAAGCGGCAGTTTCCGTATTCGCCATCGCCAAGCACCTGTTCGGCACAGACTGTGCATACGACTTTTGCGGTGTTGAACCGTCGACGGTGCGGACGGACATACAAACATACATACATGTGCACGGACTTGACGACATGCCGGTCTGTCGATCACGGCTAAACTAGTGGCCGCCAATGCGCGCCAGTGATTGAAGCGCTCACGTCACTTGTCATATGTGATATCTTGCGGGGCTGGTGGGAGCCAGAACTGGTGGGGATGGAGCTCCCACTGCTACCTTGTTTTACGCGGAGAACGTGCTGGCATCGATGGATATCCTGTGGCACCACCAGAGCTCCAGCCTGCAAGTCCAAAGTGTGAGCGGAGAGTCCTGTGCTTCCCTAGGCGGAATAGGGGTATAAAGAAGGTTAATAAAGAAGGTTATCTTATTAACTTTCTCGTATCCTCGTCGAGAAGGTTACGACGCACCCTGAGTCGTCAAGATCTGCACGTGGATGTTGCAGAGCGCAATTAGAAACATCCGCACAAAGATGCGCACGACGATTTCGCCACATTGGACACATCATTTGAGTTTGGGGTCACTTGAGCACATGCAAAACTGACGCTTTTATGTACTACGTATTTTGAAGAAATTTACGTTACGTGTAAAAAGGTGCGGAAGTCACCCAAGACAGGCTCCTACTGCTTAGGTTTTCCTTCCACCCATGCCATAGGGTTAATGCATGGAATTGTTGAATGCCGCTCAGCGCTGTCGTAGTCAGGTAGGGTTCCTGTAGGAGGCGGACTCAGTCCAGAAGCGCCATATAACATGGGGCCGAAACGAAAAATCAATACCCAATTCTTATATATATATGAACCTAAAGCATGTTAGAAATATCGACATTGCAGCCGTTCTTGATTAAATTGGTCCAGCGCAGCATTCGCGCTGGTTAGTTCACCTTTCACTGCGCTTAACAGAGGAGGAGCGCGTACCAAGCCCAAATTACATTTCAGAAAAGTACTGATATCAAATGAGTTATTGCGTTCGACAGGTGTGAGTGCACGGCCTGAAAGCGCCCTGTCAATCCCGAGGCCTGTTCTGGATCCACTGCATTACTAAGCTAACTATTGCATGACGGCTGCTGTTTAGCTGAGCTTTGTGTTAGTCTTGAAGATGAAATCCTTAGTAATTATTGGCGAATGCAGTGCAGGAGTCTCCTAACTACACGGACGACCATTCTTTCCTCGAAGAATGCAATACAGATGAGGCCTCGGTGCGTGTTTTTTAATCACATAATGAAGAACGATGGTTAAGCTAAGGTGAAAGTAGATTAGAGAGGTGCTGTGACATTTGGTAAGCTCTTGGGTACGGCAGCTGTTTCATCATGCTTTCAGGTTCACGTGTATGCCTAATGTAAAGCTCTTTTCTCCTCGCATTCACATGGCACCTAATGCCATATATTAATTTTTGGAGGGATGCCGGATGCGACGTTATCTGGCCTCGGCACAATACTTCGTTGACTGGGACTATCGGCTAGGAGGCCTAAATATGGAGTATCAGCCTTTTGGCCACAAGATAAGTACTGTATAATCGGATGAACTTTGATGTAGGAGCAGCAACCGGTCAGCCGGAGGGTTTCGCAAATGTTAAACGAATACCGGGATGCTGCATCCGTTTGCGTGTACCATTGTTTATAGCAGCCGAAGAAGGTACGTATACGGCCTGCTTGAGTTCTGTCGATTCCCTGCTGCAACTCTATCTGAACGCCCAATACAGGTAATGCTACAGAAGTTGACAAGTTTCTTCGCGAGGATGCTACATGGTTAAGGCAAACTGATGTAAAGGAAAAGAGGACAGCTTGGCATATTGCCGCGGCGCATGGCCATGTCGAGGTGGGCAATCCAGCCCTCGATCTCGTATGTAAAGCACTCAAAGGATGCTTTTTCTTTCCTGAAAGATGCGTAAAGATGCTTGCAAGATGATCCTCGCGACAAGTACGCGCGAGCATCAGAACGGATTGCATGACCGGACGCCATCGCCGGGGTTCGCATCCAGCATCCAATCCAATAAACCCAAATTCATTAAAGACCTTCTCCTCGTCAACCTTCGTGGCGCGTCTCATCGTCGTGCAGCATCCGCTCGTCTCGACCTCTGCTCACAGCCCCCTTTCGCGCTCTACCGCCCCAATCCGCTCCAGGTGCTTCGCGTGCTCGTAGCCCGCACGCGCGAGGACGATGTCGCACAGACCTGGCACGCCCAGAGCACTCTGCCGGCACTGATTAGGGCCGCGGCTGCTGTGGCGGCTGCTGGCTCTGCTAGCCATGTGCCCGGTCCTGACGGGGTGAGCATCTCTCCAGGGGGTGCACCCCAGCCATCTGCTGATATCTCTTGTACTGCCATAAGCCGTACATGAACCCTGCCCGCAGCAGGAATCGTCGTGAGTGTGTGTTTGGGTGTGCATGGATGTGTATCAGGATGTAAGCAATCACGTGCCTATGTGAGTTATTGTGTGCCACATTGACGCGCCCCGGTGAGAGCGAGTGAGCCCAGCCGCGCTCCCTTGCTAATGGGGGAGATGCTCACATCCATACGATTATACCTATATAGCGTGTAGTGATTCGGGCTTGTGGAACCTAGATGCCCAAAGGCCCCTGAGTGAATGATTGCGAGAGACAACGGTAACTAACGATAGCTGAGCTCACCCCACCCCTCGCTCCCCTGACCTTTGCACCGTTTCCTTTCCAATCAGCAGCCCCCATCCCCTCCGGGTCTTATCTCAAGCCCCCTTCCCCTCCCCTCCCCCCAACTCCCGCGCCATCCCCCGCAGCGTGTATCTGAGCTGGTTAACTGTCGTGCCAGTTTCGGCGTGACACCTCTGATTTTGGCGGCGGAGAGGGACCAGGTGGAGGCGGTCAAGTACCTGATCTCCGTGGGTGCGTGACGGGGCGGCGGTAATGGCTAGGTTGCTGGGTTTGCGAATGGAGGTTTTCGGAGCCGTGGATGGCAAGGTGGTGGGGTAGTGGTTCCGTTCGCTGACACCGCCATCCTCCCCCTCTCTCCCTCCCCCTTATTCGTCCCCGCTTTGGCGGCCCCATCACTTTCGCAGTGGGTGGGCGCTTCGGACGGGCCGGCAGCTGTCTTTCCCTCTTTGACTTTTGCATCGCCACCATTATCATCATCATTATCATCATCATTATCATCATCATTATCATCATCATTATCATCATCATTATCATCATCATTATCGTCACCATTATCATCATCATTATCATCATCATTATCACGATCATTATCATCATCATTATCATCATCATTATCTCGTCTTCATCATCATCGTCTTCATCATCACCACCATCACCACCATCATCATCACCATCATTACCATCACCATCATCATCACCATCATCGTTCCCCTCCAATGTCCCTGAAGGAGCTGACCCCTGGCAGGGCGACAACGAGGGACGTAACCCCGCGCACTATGCAGCCAAGGCGGGAGCCATAAAGGCTTTGCAGGTATATATGTATATATTTATGCATGTATGTTTGCATGTATGTATGTGACTTAGATTACACTGTGGGCCGCGAGAGCCGGGGGCCGAAGCCGAAACACAGCGCAAGGGTCGGGGGCACGCAGCACAAGTCGGTTAGTCTTGCTGCTCCCGACCCCGACTCAGACTGCCAACACACAACGCAGCCGTTCCGCATGTATGTATGTATGTTTGCATGTTC